GCCTTTTCCCACTGAAGTGGTAGCTATTTATCACTCACATTTATATGTTTTTGAACTGCTAGGTTGGCAGAACTAGGGCTGACAGACAGGAGCTCACCCCGTCTCACAGATTCGAACTTTGCAGAATGAGTCATATCCATCATGTAAGATTGTATCAGCCTTCAGGTTAGTGGTTCAGCAACACGAGGGTTTAACCCACTGCGCCACTAAAACCTGAGTTATCTCATGAACGAGCATGTAATTATTATTATTATTATTAATTATTAACTTTATTTGTACCCCGCTAGCATTTCCCGAAGGACTCGATGCGGCTTACAAAGGCCAAGGCAGTTAAAGCTGCATTAAACAACAAGCAATAAACAATACATCAAGACACTATAAAACTGGGCTGGGCCAGAGTAATGGGTACAAGGATTAAAAGTGCTGATGTGACAGGTGGTATCTGAGGCATTATAGGGCAAGTGCAGTGTGCGGTGTGCAGCAATCTTAGTTCTAATAAAGTGCTTCTGGGACTTGTTATTGGAGATTCCTATTCTGGAAAGGCGCATCGGAACAGCCAGGTCTTCAAGTTCTTTCTAAAGACTGCCAATGTAGGGGCCTGTCTAAGATCTTTGGGGAGGGTGTTCCAGAGTCGGGGGGCCACCACAGAAAAGGCCCTGTCTCGTGTCCCCACCAAACGCGCCTGTGACGCAGGTGGAATCACGAGCAGGGCCTCTCCAGATGAATGAAGAGAGCGCGTGGGTTCGTAAACGGAGATGCGGTCACGCAGGTAGGATAGTCCCAAACTGTTTAGGGCTTTGTAGGTAAGCACCTGCACCTTAAATTGGGCTCGGAAAATAAATGGCAGCCAGTGGAGCTCCTTAAACAGGAGGGTTGACCTCTCTCTGTAAGGAGCCCCAGTTAACATCCTGGCTGCTGCCTGTTGGACCAGTTGGAATTTCCGAGCCGTTTTCAAGGGCAGCCCCACGTAGAGCGCATTACAGTAGTCCGATCTAGAGGTGTAAGATAGCGTGAATGTATTTTTTTAAAAACTAAGAGGACAGTGACATCTTAATTAAAAGAAATGAACTAATGGAACTGAAAGATCAGAAAGATATCTCAGACCAACACAGAAATGTTTCCTGGTTTCAATATGCACAAATTAAGGAGTGTTACAAGGAGGATAAGAAAATAGGATTTGGTGAAAAGGATGATTTTTGGGAAAAGGTACAAAAGAGTGAAAAGAAAACAATAACAATTCTATACAATAAACTAATAAATTGGGCTACGGAGACTGAAGTGATTAGAAACTCAATGATCCAATGGGCCAAGAATATAGGTAGAACAATCCATCTGAGTGAATGGGAAATAATATGGACAAAACGGTTAAAGTACACATACGCCTCAGATCTTAGGGAGAATTGGCTTAAGATGTTGCATCGCTGATACCTAACACCTCAGATACTGGCGAAAATGTATAAGAATCTAGAAAATAAGTGTTGGAAATGTAAATTCCAAGAAGGTTCTTTCAACCATGTCTGGTGGTCATGCCCTAAAATAAGAGAGTATTACTAGGTTCTTGTGGGTTTTTTCAGACTATAGGGCCATGTTCTAGAGGCATTTCTCCTGATGTTTCGCCTGCATCTATGGCAAGCATCCTCAGAGGTAGTGACCTCACTACCTCTGAGGATGCTTGCCATGGATGCAGGCGAAACGTCAGGAGAAATGCCTCTAGAACATGGCCCTATAGCCTGAAAAAACCCACAAGAACCTAGTGATTCCAGCCATGAAAGCCTTCGACAATACATTAAGAGAGTGTTGGAAGATGATCCATCTAGAATGTAAAAAAATCTTAAATTTAAACTTTCCCATGTGCCCAGAATATTACTTGTTAGGAATGTATGATGTAAATATGTTTAACGATAATAATGCGGAAAAGTTGTTTACCTTTTTAGCTACAGCGGCTAGAATGTCTCTTGCCAGACTCTGGAAACAAGATTCGACTTCCTCAAGAACATAGTGGTTGGAGAAAATAATAGACATCAAAGAAATGGACGAACTGACCTACTGGCTTAGGGAAAATAATGGAAAAGGAACAAAAAAGACGGACTGGAGCATGTTTGAAAACTCCATGGAAAAGGAATTGTAATGGAACAAAGGGATAACGATTTCAGAAAAGGAGAGAGAATGAATGTAAACAAAGGAATTAGGGGAAACAAATTGGGGAAAGCGAAGGAAGAAGAGTGGAAGTCGGTTTTAGATATATGATGTCTTGTTGTGTCTTTGTTGTATATGTCAAGTATCGTGCATATGTGAATCTGTTTGTTGAATGTTTTTCTTACTGCAAAATCAATAAAATTATTTTTTTTTAAAATAAAAAACTAAGAGGATGGTCACATGTATTGAGAAGGTCTGACCATTTATGTTGTATTGCGAAAAAATATATGCCTTCATCACTTGCAGTACAAACCAACTGTAATTCTAAGGAACTTTTCAAGGTCAACTCTGTGTACAGTCATGACATTAATCTAATCTGGAAGTTACACAGTCGTCTATATAACCATGATGGAAAAAAGTACTCCAGCAAAAGCATGCTGGGAATGCAGAAGTACTTCATCAGTGTCGCAGATGGACGATGAAATTGACAGCTCCCCTGGCGGCCAGAAAAGTTAAATAGCCTCTGACTGTCTATATCTGTTGTGTGTCTTTGGCATTGAATGTTTGCCATATATGTGTATATTGTAATCTGCCCTGAGTCCCCTGCGGGGTGAGAAGGGCGGAATATAAATACTGTAAATAAATAAATAAACAAATAAATCTTGTTTGAGACACAGCTCGTGTTTCAGCCTTTGCTGATAAAAGAAATCCTTGACCACATATACCACCTGAATGTCCAGAAACAAGACAAGGGACAGGGCCTTCTCGGTGGTGACCCCCCACTTGTGGAATTCATTCCCAGTGAGATTAGATCGGCGTCCTCCCTCCTTTCCTTTAGGAAAAAAACTGAAATTGTATTTTTGGAACCAGGCTTTTGGCTAGCAGGCATAACAGCATTTTGGATATTGAACTGGACCATATGATTGTTATAATAATGGAAATGGCTATCTGACTGTATAATTAATTTTATTGTTTTTAATCTATTGTGTACTAGCGGTCCCCTGCCACACATTGCTGTGGCTCAATCTAGTAATCTGGAAAATAAAGTAATGAGAAAGTGTTGGTCTCTAATATATGTAATGTCTTTCTGCTTGTGGGTAAACAGTATTTCTTGCAGTTTCTTTGTCAGTCTTAATGTGGTGATTGCCTGGTTTGCCTACTCTGGAACATGCAACATATCATTGCCCTTCTTTAGGGGTCCCTTTCAAATCTTTGAAACCGCATCTGTTATATACATATATGTGTGTGAGTGGCTGGATGGCCCTTTGTCAGGAGGGCTTTGATTATGTTTTCTTGCCCTGGTGAAGGGAGTTGGACTGGCAGCATTTCTCAACCTGGGAAGTCAAGACCCCAGGGGGGGAGGGGTCCTCACCAGGGGGGTGTCCGAAGGGTCGCCAAAGACTACCAGAAAACACAGTATTTTCTGTTGGTCATCAGGGTTCTGTGGAAAGTTTGCCCCAATTCTTTCATTGGTGAGGTTCAGAATGCTCCTTGATTGTAGGGGAACTATAAATCCCAGTAACTACAACTCCCAAATGTCAAGGTCTATTTTCCCCAAACTCCACCAGTGTTCACATTTGGGCATATTGAGTATTTGTGCCAACTTTGGTCCTGATCAGGGGCGGCTCAACCCATTATGCAAAGTAAGCATTTGCAGTATAGTTGATTTTGCCCAGGGGCGCTCTTGAGGCGCTCTTTGGGGAAAATAGACCTTGACATATGCGAGTTGTAGTTACTGGGATGTATAGTTCACCTACAATCAAAGAGCATTCTGAACTCCACCAATGATGGAATTGAACCAAATATGGCACACAGAACTCCCACGAACAGAAAATATATATCAGTGATTGGTTGGGGGGGGGGGGGCACCAAAATACTGTTTGCTTACCGTTGAAAATTACCTAGGGCCGCCTCTGGTCCTGATCCATCATTGTTTGAGTCCACAGTGCTGTGTGGATGTAGGTGAACTACAACTCCCAAACTCAAGGTCAATGCCCACCAAACCCTTCTAGTGTTTTCTGTTGGTCAGGGAAGTTCTGTGTGCCAAGTTTGGTTCAATTCCATCATTGGTGGAGTTCAGAATGCTCTTTGATTATAGGTGAACTACAAATCCCAGCAACTACAACTTCCAAATGACAAAATTATAATTTTTTGAGTGATTTTTTGTGTAGTGAGACGTCTTGTGGCCAAATTTGGTGTGATTTCGTTCATTGGTTCTTTTGTTTTTAAGGTACTCATTATGCACAGAGCATTTTTATATATGTATAGATTTATGGCTTTATATTGTTGTTATATTGTGATGTTTGTGGCATCGAATTCTTGCCAGTGTTAGCCGCTCTGAGTCCCCTTCAGGGGCTGAGAAGGACAGGGTAGAAATGTTGTAAATAAATAATAATAAATAAATCTACGTGGGTGAGAACTCATATTTTCACTAACAGGTACATTTAAAAAAAAACCTAGTTGGTGTATTTGTGTGTATATTTAGGTACTATTCTAGTTATTCAGTCATCTCTTGTAGCAAAACAGGTTGTTCATCTGGAGGAAGGTCAGTTTCAGCTTTCCTAGCATGCAGCTTCCAATGTTACCAAAACCTGATTTGACCAGAGAAATACAAAAAAATGGAACATGCCGTACCAATTATTGTCCTACAGCACCACCTACAAGCCTCCAGGCATAAGAGGTGGGGGAAATCCAGTCTGCACACAGCCGTAGCTCAAATGAAGAGAGGCAAAAACTCCTGGTCCGCCTCACAGGCTGTCCAAATGGACCTTTCTATTCAGCAAGACACGCGGCACCATCTGGAAATGCTATGTGAATAGGCTACCTTCATTGTGTTTTCTTCTCTTCCTCCCATTACGTCGCAGGTGCCATCTGACTCCACTGTCAAAAGGCTGCTCTTCACCCTCCTGGAAAGATGTTCCTGATACGGCTGGGATTTGTGACTGTGCTTCTTTGTAGTCCGGTGATGAGTACAGGTAAGACTCAATCAACACACTTGGAAGCCTGTGTGATCCTTCAGGAAACCGTCCAAAGAGATTAGCCAATCACATCTAGCTCCAGCAGAGAAGAGTCCTTTGTCTCACCCTGGTCATTCCACAGATATATAACCCCTTTTTCCTAGTTCCAACAGACCTCACTACCTCTGAGGATGCTTGCCATAGATGCAGGCGAAACGTCAGGAGAGAATGCCTCTAGACCAGGGGTCCACAAACTTTTTGAACAGAGGGCCAGGTCATAGTCTCTCAAACTGTTGGAGGGCCGGATTATAATTTGAAAAAAAAAGTGAATGAATTCCTATGCACAGTGCACGTGTCTTATTTGTAATGCAAAAAACACTTTAGAACAATACAATAATTAAAAATAAAGAACGATTTTAACAAATATAAACGTATTAGTATTTCTATGGGAAGTGTGGGCCTGCTTTTCACTGATGAGATAGGATTGTTGTTGTTGTTGTGTGCTTTCAAGTCGTTTCAGACTTAAGTTGACCCTGAGCGAGGGCCAGGAAAATGACCTTGGAGGGCCGTATTCGGCCCCTGGGCCGTAGTTTGATGACCCCTGTTCTAGACCATGGCCATATAGCCCGAAAAAACCTACAACAACCTAGATTAGCCAAGACTTCTGTGAAATAAACAAGAGCATGTGATATCCCTGGGGGTGCATCTATAGTGTCGAATTAATGCAGTTTAATGCCACTTTGACTGCCATGGCTCAGTGCTATGGAATCATTAGTGTTGTAGCTTGGTAAGGTACCAGAGCTATTTGACAAAGAAGGCTAATAACTAGGTATGGATAGAGCCACGTTGGATTACTTGTTACTTGTAATAATTTTGTTAAAGTTACCTTTTTGAAGAGATTTCGAAGCATTCTAAAAACTCGGAAGTCCCTTTGCCCTTCCAAAGCTTTTTCCGCCATTTTTGTTATGACCCAGAAAGTAAGTCGGAAATAATTCAGTGTATTTTCAGCTCTCTAGCCTGCTGGGAAGTTCCTTGCCTCCCCTCCCAGCCAATCAGGGGAGAGGTTTTTGGGGAGGAGAGGGGTTTCGGCACTGGCAGCCATTGCTGTATATAAAGGGAAGCACATGGCTCAGAGGCTCATTTAGAGCCCGGAAGGGAAGGGAGAAGGGTAAAGAGAAATACGGAGATTGTTATTAATGAATCCTACAAATCTCTGAATTACAAAACGGAAGTCCGAAGCTTTGCACATTTTTACTAATAACCTTTTAAACTACAACTCTCATCATTTCATAGGATTAATTCTACAATGTAGATTCATCCTAAGAGGATACATTTATATTACAGAAGGGTCAGGATAGATAGGAAAGTAAGGACAATTTGGGTCGCTCAAACCATTTAACTCTATGACTACTGCTTATTTTGAAGTATTCATGTCTTGTCCGTGCCTTGTTGCACTTCTATCCGTTTTCAGCTTCCTGACAGTTGACCCTCCACATTTGTGGGTTTGATTTTTGTAGATTTGATTGATCATGGTTTGATTAAAATCTTCCCTCTAGGAATCTCTAGGTTCTCTAGCATGACTCTATGATCCACTTTCTCCAGACATGTTGGAGAGCTTAGAGATTCCTAAGGAGAACCCCACCAACAGAAGTTAACCATATGATCATGCTGGAGAACCCATACATTCCTAGAGAGGGATTTTTTCAGATAAAATGAACTGCCATGTCTTTGGAGTGTTGTGTGGTTTCCGGGCTATATGGCTGCTAGTACATGTCCATACAGCCCAGAAACCACACAACGCTCCAGTGATTCCAGCCATTAAAACCTTTGACAATACAGCTATGTCTTTATTAATGTTTTTTTCACCTTCATAGCACCCTGAGCTGCTTCCGGTCCAAACATATATTCCTCTATGAACCATCTTGGAGGTTAAGATTTTCTGAGTAGGCTCTGCTCTCGATCCCACCCACCCCCCTTTGCAGGCGTGACTGGTGTGAACGAGAGACAGGGCCTTCTTGGTGGTGGCCCCTCAGCTTTGGAACTTCATTCCCAAGGAAATTAGATCAGTTCCCTCCCTTCTGACCTTCGGGAAGAAAGTTAGATCCTGGTTGTAGGACCAACGATTTCTCAGAGCAATAATGAACAATGACAATTGGAATGGCTCCTGGAATATGCTTTTGGAGTGTGTTTTAAGTAATTATTTTAAGTGATATGTTTTAATTATGTAATTTTATAGTTCATATTGTTTTATTTTATATGTATCAGGGCACTGAATTGTGCTTCTGTTATGAGCCGCCCTGAGTCCCCTTCGCGGTGAGAAGGGTGGGGTATAAATGTAGTAAATAAATAAAGTCCCATTAATTTGGAGGGCTGACTATAGAACCAGACCTGTCCCAAATGAGACCTTTGTGTTTTGGGTCAGGGAGCCCAGCCTTTTGTATAGCATGCTGGGTTCAAGAATTAGTCAGCTGTGCAACCTGGATAAATTGATTTTTGTATTCTTCATGTCATTTCCTGCCTGCCTGTGCAAACTTTTCTCTTTCTTTCTTTCCTGCCCATTTCCAGGTAGTTTGACATTCCACATGAGTTCAGTGATTGGGATTCTAAAAGATTTGGAATTCCATCTGAATGGGACTCTGGACCTGGCTGTAAAGGAGCTTTTTCGGGAAGTAGAATACTGCAATGGCAAGTTGTGGCAGCAATTCCTCTGCCCCATGACTTCAGTGCCATCAGATATGTCATACCTGAATGAGCCGCAAAGGACTTTCCTCAGAAACCTGGTAAATCACACAGTTGATGCTACCTTGGTAGAGCATGGGGTGGTCTTAACCCCTGACGGGACCACAATTTCCCTCAGTCCTCTCCTTGCTGGAATAGCAGTTGGATCCAAGAGAAGGAAGGACACAGTTCTTCTTGCCACACCTTTGGTCACTGACTCATCAAATAACTCTCATCCAGAGCCACAATTAACCCTAGACCCCCTCTTTGCCACCACAATAGCTATGGACCTTGGCATGGCTTTCCTGCTCTTTGAGACCAACCAGAGTGAAGTGGCCCTGGGGCCAAATGGATGCTGGGATAACATCTCTGCACCCCATACATTCACCTTGATGGGACCTCCCTCCAATATTACTGATGCTTTCATCAATGGTGCAATGGATGGTCTCATTCTGGGAGCCTTTATTGCAGAGAAATCTGAGCCAATGACCAGTCTCAGTGCCCTCCTGGGTGACTACTATGGAAGAAAAGGCCTGAAGTGGAAAAATCGTGTGACTAGGAGCAACTTCCGACGAAATAACTTTGCAGCCCTGGTGAGTGAGGAAAAACTAAGGGACCAAGTACGGCGTTCCATGCAACTACTTAAGCAGCTGCATAAAGACAGTCCCCTTTTCGAAGGTATCTCAAGTGAGGAAACAGGATTTCTTGCAAATCAAGCGGTAGAAGAATTCATGGCATTATATGTAGGTAAGTTGCAAGTAGTTCAGAATATCTCTTGAATGGAACTACTTATTTTATTGCTGTTTTCTCTAGCTTAGATGTTCTGGTACAGCTGTACCAGGAGCTCCAATTTTCTTTGCTTTGTATTAAATGTTTGCTTGCAGTCCAAGGTTGCAGGAATTCTGCAGATAGGTGGCTTCCTTTGGTTGCAGTCATAGGGCAAGTCACCTGTCCATCATCGTTAAGTTTTGGTTCCGCCCCTTGCTCAGGGCAATTGGGAAGGGAAGGTAACCATTTTTAGTTAGTCTCAGCAAGGAAAACTAATGTACAGGATGTGTGCAAGCTTCTCCTGTACAAAAGTTTCAACCCTTAAGGCTTTCCGGGGGAGAACAGTCATAAGAGTCTCCAAAGATTTCCAGGGAAACAGCCCTAAAGACCAAAGAACTCCAGCTGGAGAATCTACTAGCCTTACTGGTAGGTCCACTCAGCGTTCAAGACGCAATTTGACCCAGTAGCGGAGCCCACATCAGTAAGATTTAAGATTACAGTCAGCCTGGGAGAAGTTAAAAAGGGCATTTTCCTTTAAAGCAAAGAATTAGTTATTGAAGACAATTGCCTGCCCTTCGTGGACAAGATTTGGAAGCCACCAGTTGCATAAAAGCCTGGAATCATTTGTTTAACTTTCTGAAGACAAGAGAAGTTTCTGTTTGATTGTTCATTAATTTATTATTTGTCGTGTCAGGGCAGCCAGTCAATTATATTACATTTCTAACAGAACAAACAAACAGACAAAATACAAAATTTGTGAGTTTGGTAGTTGATTAAATGTCCTTTGACCAGTAGCTGGCCACTTGGAGTGCTTCTGGTGTTGCTGCAAGAAGGTCCTCCACTGTGCATGTGGCAGGGCTCAGGTTGCACTGCAGCAGGTCGTCAGTGGTTTGCTCCTCTCCACACTCGCATGTCATGGACTCCACTTTGTAGCCCCATGTCTTGAGGTTGGCTCTGCAACTTGTGGTGCCAGAGCGCAGTCTGTTCAGCACCTTCCAAGTTGCCCAGTTTTCTGTGTGCCCAGGGGGGAGTCTCTCATTTGGTATCAGCCATTGGTGGAGGTTCTGGGCTTGAGCCTGCCACTTTTGGACTCTCACTTGCTGAGGTGTTCCAGCGAGTGTTTCTGTAGATCTTAGAAAACTATTTCTAGATTTAATGTTCATTAATAAAGGACTTTGTTAGACTTCACAAGCCATCTAAAGACCATTTGTGGTGGAAAACCTCTGAGAACTTCTCTTCGGGGGGCCCTGGCTTCCTGCTGGGCTCACGTGGCATGTCCTATTTAAAGACAATTATTTACAGGCCCAGTGCACGACAGAACATTAGATGTCTGGTCTGTCTATATGAGGCTACAGTTGCTGCAAATCCATCGAAATGGCTTCATTGGTTTCTAAAGATCCCATCACACTGTTGGAGTTCAGCCTGTGATTGTGTTTCGGGATCAGGGTGCTTTGGATGTGGGAAGTGATGCCAATGAATTTCAAGATGGCAATGGTTTGGTCAATGATACTGATGCAGAGAAGGACCAGGAGACCCCTGTGCAGTGTAGTTTCCCATATGAATGTCCCTGAAGGGTGTAGGGATGATAGTGTACTACCTGAATTGCTACCAGAGAGTTCCCAGGATTTGGGGCTTGAAAACAACTGGGCACCTAGCCCAGCTGCAAAACTTAATGAGCAAATAGATAGACGAGGCGAAATTAGTTAAAACAGACAGGCCGAACAGTGCCTTCAGCGTTCTGCAAGGCTCCAACAGAAAAAGATAAGGGGATCTCACTTAAAACGAAACCAATTCCTGAGTGCGTGGAATAGCTTAACGAGGGGATAAAAGTTCCAAGTATGGGAAATATAGTCAGATGAAGCATCGTTGGAATCAAGTGTAGTTATCGTACTTGTCTCATGGAAGCTTTGCTTGGAAGATTCTTGTCTTAGTATTTCTTGTTTCATGGTTTGGATTCTTGGAATGTATGAATGCCTACTCATGCCTTGGATTAATGTTTTCCTGAATTATATTAGGGAAGTGTGGACTTTGTTTTATGGACTTTGCTGAACTTTACCCGGGACTATTTTTGCTCCTGCTTATCTTTCTACCTAATTGGATTTACCTATTTCTTTAAAGTGTTTTTTACTTGCTACTTTAAAATTATCTTCAATTTTTTTTTTGGTCGTGTCAGGAGCGACTTGAGAAACTGCAAGTCGCTTCTGGTGTGAGAGAATTGGTCGTCTGCAAGGACGTTGCCCAGGGGACGCCCGGATGTTTTGATGTTTTTATCATCCTTGTGGGAGGCTTCTCTCATGTCCCCGCATGAGGAGCTGGAGCTGATAGAGGGAGCTCATCCGCCTCTCCCCGGATTCGAACCTGTGACCTGTCGGTCTTCAGTCCTGCCGCCATATTATCTTCAATAAAAGGATTGTTTTCCAATCAATGGTGTGGTGTTTACAGTCAGAGGGCTTTTCCTGTCCTGGAGTGCAACACACACTAACTTAACCCTGGCTTCAGGACAGAGCTCCACGCTGGCCATCACACAGTGTTGTGTAACTTCCAGCTGAGACCCCACCCCCAACTGGGGTGTAAGTGTCATTGGAGGCTTTGCTTACAACATGGCGCCTCAGTGCTTAAGCGATGCTTCCCCCATGTGATGAGGAAAATTTTTTAATTCTATGGGACAGAAAAAGATTCACGTACGGCTTATATTTATGCAAAAGGGATATTGAGGATAACATCACATCATGGTTCTAGCCAGGGGCGGCTCAACCCATTACGCAAAGTAAGCATTTGCAGTATAGTTGATATTGCCCAGGGGTGCTCTTGAGGTGCTCTTGCGGGAAAATAGACCTTGACATATGTGAGATGTAGTTACTGGGATGTATAGTTCAACTAAAATCAAAGAGCATTCTGAACTCCACCAATGATGGAATTGAAC